TTGATTGATTGATAAAATAATAGCTCCAAATGACTTGACCAAAAAAAAAGACAAAAAACACACATTTCAAGTATTATTTACTTATTTATTAAACAATTTTAGGAATGTTTTCTTAAAATACAGCATCACAAACTTATTTTATCTAAAAAAATAATAAAATGTTTTAATTCTTCACAAAACTGAAAAATACTTCACTAAAAAAGATATATTTACTAAAATAACATAAATGATGCTTATTTTTTTAATGACAAGTTATTTTTTCCTGACTGTAGTTTGTGATGAGATTATTTTAATAGTTTAATGAGAAAAAGTCAGAGCAGTGAGTTTTTAATGTTTTTAAGTTATGTTTTCTTATTTCCAGACACATTTTCTTGTGGTTTAGATAAAATAAGTTTGTGATGCTGTATTTTAGAAAAGCATTTCTCAAAAACGTTTAATAAATAAGTAAATAATAAGTGGTTTGGGGCCGGTTTTATTTTCTTATTTTCAGACAAATCTTATCAAAGTCATATTTTCTTCTTCTATTTGTATTATTTTAAGCAGTATTTTAATTTATTTTTTATTTTTTCCAATGTTTGCCTTTGTCACATGATCAGCTTTTTATACAGAAAAGTGAAAAAGAAATTACCAAACACATAAGTATTACATGTTTTGAAGAGATGCTTTTGGGTCTGACTCATTCTTGTCACTCGGGCAAAACAAAAGTATTATTAATAAAAGTATGATGGGGCGACAGTAGCTCAGTTGGTAGAGCGTTGGCCTTCAGGCCTGAAGGTCGTGGGTTCAATTCCCACCTTCTCCACCGACTCCCACTGATGACTGCTGCCGTTGTGTCCTTGGGCAAGACACTTAACCCCACTTTGCCCAAAGCCCCCACTGAAAGATCAAGGCTATGCTCACACTCAGAGAGCAGCCGTCCTCCTGTGGACTCACTACCTGCAGAGGGTCAGTGAGGGGCTGGTGCTATGAGACTTGGGTGGCATCTCTGACTGCCACCCCCCTGACCCAGAAATGGATTAAAGGGTAGAAAATGGATGGATGGATGGATTAATAAAAGTATTATTTAAAAAAAAGTATGAACAAAAAATTAATAATAAACTTTTACCTTCTGGTCCCTGAGTGTCGCCCCGACCCTTCTGTCCAAAACCTCAGCAGCAGATCTGTGATACTATGACGTCAGTGTGCCTCTATGACATCACACTCAGCAGTTTTCCACTTTTTAGAGAAAAATAATTCACATATATGTATATTTTTTGCTTGTATTTCTCAGGTGAAAATTAGTTCTTTACAAACATGTAGCAGCTGGTAATTTTCAATGTTGACCAAAAAAAATAAAAAATTTTACATCTCCCCCTGGTGGTAGCAAAGGGACAAGACTAAAAAGATTCTCGTCCCATTGGCAAATCTTGTTTTAATGCAGCCAGAATGTGCTTACATTACCATAATACACGCATTTAGCCAATTTTTTGCGATTTTTAACTGAATTTTCATCACTTTTTGTAGTCCTTTCCCACTGAGGATATCATGACACATTCTTAAACATGAAATGACAGAGTAAAAAGTCCCGTGATCGTCGTTAATGGACAAAAATAACGAGTAATGTTTTATTCTTTTGAGTCTAAACAGTTGCAGCTTGTGAGGTCCATGTCTCTCTCTCTGCCTCTCCCCCTGCTCCAGCCACCTCCTCCCTCTGCTGTAAATACGACCTATCCAGCCAGAACTAACAAAGGCCCAGTGCGGACAACCCTGTCAGGAGACCGTGTGTGTGTTGGTGTGTGTGTGTGTGTGTGTGTGTGTGTGTGTGTGTGTGTGTGTGTGTGCGTCCTCTCTCTCACCGCGCCTCTAAGAAATGGTAATTGTGCCCAGTGCATGTCTCTGCAGCTTGTCATGAAGGACTCTCATTTTCTCCAGCAAATATATCATGTGTGTTGTGCTGTTTTTATGTGTGTGTTGTGTTGTGCTGATTTTGTGTGTGTTTGTCAGAGAAAGCCTCATTTTACTATAAAAATCTCAGGTTGCCGAGCGTTTAAGGACCGTCGCGGCCTGTCAAAGAAGCCGGGGAAAGCTTTTTATACCCGGGTTTTCTGCAACATTTGTCAGTGTGTTTTGTTACGGGTGAAACGCCTGAGTCTGTCGGTGCTGTGTGCGGAATGTGAGGCGGGATTTGGACTCGTTCTGTTCCTTAAACGTGATCTTGAGAATGCAAAATTACAAGAGTAGAAGACAAGAGTCGCTTTGACTTAAAATAAAAATCTCCCACTAATCCCACTTTTTAATCTATTCATTTGATTTTTTTCTACAACTGCTGACTATATATTTCTTGCATTAAATCCGGCATGTCCAACCTCAGGCCCGCGAGCCAATTGCGGCCCTCTGTGCCCTTTTATGAGGCCCTCTGCTGCAAACACAAAGTCGCCGTTGAGGAACTTTGACAGTGTCATCCAACCAACTTCAGCTCCACCAGTACAGTCAGGCTATACCAGGTTGTTATTCTCAGACTCTCTGGAATCCACTTGTTTTATGATTCTGTCACAACATTCCACATTAAATCTAGTCGTCAGCCAAGGTCAAGTCTGATGAAGTATACTGGCTCTCTTACTAAAAGTTTGGACACCCCTGCACTAGAATACACATTATTTTCTTATGTATTATGCTAAAGCAAAAGATGTTAAGCTTGTTTGGACTCCTCTCAAGTCTCCGTCAAGGCCAGTAATGTCAAGTGGTCCCAGGAGGTGATTGTGAGAACGGAAAATCACATAAAATCACACAAAATTCAAGTAAAAACGTAAAAAAAAGAGTATAGAAAAAAAAATATTATTGAAACAACAAAAGAGACCTGTTTGGTGAATACGTATTTATATATATATATATATACTGTATACTGTGTACTGTATATTCAAGAAATAATAATCAGGAGTATGTGTGTATTCAAACATGTCAAGGAATATTTTTCACACAAGAATAAACTTTATAAAGACAGAATGTTGCGTACTGGGGACAACACTCCACCATGATCTCGAGAATGCACGAGATGGCGCCGTGGCATGAGCTCTGGTGACTTTTGTTACTCACGTGGCAATAAAAATGATTCTGATTCAAATTTTAGATTCAGATTCACACTGCGGTGATAAACCACTACTATAGCCGCATCTGCCCTGGGGCACACTGACAGAAGCGAGGCAACCAGTCTGTGCCATCGGCCCCTCCCACCACCACCGACACACACCAGACTCATTCTAATCTGAGGGAGGCCGAAAAATACATGTGTGTGATATGTAGTGATCAAACAAAAGAAATCAACTTATGTATATATATATTTCAGTGAGAACTTTCCCGTTGTGGAGATAATCCACCCCACTTCACAGGGTAAGTAAGCGCCAAGATGTCCGTGGACTTTTGATTGATAATGTTATTAGATGTGTCTGCTTTTATATGCGCAATTAGGGCCCGATCATAACCATAAAACTGATTTTATTTTCTCTGTTTGAGCTGAGACTCCAGTTCTGCCCCTCGCCGACACTTCTACAGCCCTCAGCCAATCAGCGCACACACAGAGGCACACACAGACACACACACATACACAGACACACACACACACACACATATACACAGGTCTCTCTGCTTTCAAGGTACTTACTCTGTCTTTTTATTGTTTCTTGACAAGTGCTTATACCTGTTTACCATGTATTCTGTAGATTTAAATCCGGTTCAAATATCTCTCCACAAAACCTCTTCTCAAGACCAAACACACACACACACACACACAATCACACACATACACACACACACAAATACACACACACAAAGGTCCCTCTGCTATTGAATTAATTACACTGATTTACATAGATTGGACGTAATTCCAAAAATCTCCCCACAAAAACAACACCCTGCGTTGTAATAACAACCTACACACACAAACACACACACAGAAACACACTAACACAAAAACACACGCACACACTCACACACACACACACACACACATAGGTCTTACTGCTTTCTAGTTAAAAATCTTCCCACAAAACAACACATTAAAGTTCCGGCGTTGTGAAAAAGATCCACACTCTCACACGCACCCACACCCACACACACAAACACAAACACACACAAACACAAACACACACACACACAAACACAAACACACACAAACTCTCTGCTATCTATGTTACAATCTCCCCACAAAAACTCCCCACGTTGTTATAAAGACCAACTCACACACACACACACACACACACACGCACATACATGTCCGTAGTGGGCCATTCCAAACACAGAGACCGACTTATTACACGTAGCGCTGTCTGGCCTTGTTACGTTGGTCTTTATGAGCTCAGGGGCCGGCCCCAGTCCCTCAGTACTTATGGAGGACTAGCGTGTGTGCGTCGGGGCCCCGGATCCTGGAATATTTAATAATCGCAGCAGGATTGTGGCTCCGTGTGGATGGATTGGGATCAACGGTTATTAGACGCTCTGTTCACAGGTAGATTACAAGCTCCAGTGAGGCTCTGTGTGTGCTGCCGTGACGGAGGGAGATACATGGACGCACAACTGATACACACGGACGCACACTGGAGGAATATGTACGCACAATTGTACACACAAAGACACAGACATACACTGGTCTCAGCCTCGTCTCGGCCTCGTTTTGGTCTCGCCTTGGTTTTGTCTTGGTCTCATCTCGGTCTCATCTTTTCCAACTATCTCCTCGTCCCTGAGTGTCGCTTCTCGTCTCGGTCTCGTCTCTGTCTTGCCTCGGTCTAATCTCGGCCTCGTCTTGGTCTCATCTCGGCCTCGTCTTGGTCTCATCTCTGTCTCTTTTCTGTCTCGTCTCGGCCTCATCTCGGCCTCGTCTTGGTCTCATCTCTGTCTCTTTTCTGTCTCGTCTCGGCCTAATCTCGGCCTCGTCTCGGCCTCATCTCGGCCTCATCTCGGCCTCGTCTCGGCCTCATCTCGGCCTCGTCTTGGTCTCATCTCTGTCTCTTTTCTGTCTCGTCTCAGCCTCATCTCGGCCTCGTCTCAGCCTCATCTCGGCCTCGTCTCGGCCTCATCTCGGCCTCGTCTTGGTCTCGTCTCTGCCTCGTCTCGGCCTCGTTCTCGTCTTTTCCAACAATCTCCCACCGTCCCTGAATGTCGGCCTCTCGCTCCTTGTTTTGGTCTGGCCTCAGTCTCACCTCTGTCTCGCCTCGGTCTCGTCTCGGTCTTGTCTTGGTCTCGTCTCGGCCTCCGTCTTGTCTTTTCCAACAACCTCCCCGTCCCTGAATGTCGCCCTCTCGCTCCATGTCTCGGTCTCGCCTCGGTCTCGTCTCTGTCTCGCCTCGGTCTCGTCTCGGTCTTGTCTTGGTCTCGTCTCGGCCTCTGTCTTGTCTTTTCCAACAATCTGTCCCATCCCTGAATGTCGCCCTCTCGCTCCTCGTCTCGGTCTCGTCTCGGTCTCGCCTCAGTCTCACCTCGGTCTCACCTCGGTCTCGTCTCGGTCTCGTCTTTTCCAACGTCCCTGAATGTCGCCCTCTCGCTCCTCGTCTCGGTCTCGTCTCGGTCTCGCCTCAGTCTCACCTCGGTCTTGTCTCGGTCTCGTCTTTTCCAACGTCCCTGAATGTCGCCCTCTCGCTCCTCGTCTCGGTCTCGTCTCGGTCACGCCTCAGTCTCACCTCGGTCTCAACTCGGTCTCGTCTCGGTCTCGTCTTTTCCAACGTCCCTGAATGTCGCCCTCTCGCTCCTCGTCTCGGTCTCGTCTCGGTCACGCCTCAGTCTCACCTCGGTCTCACCTCGGTCTCGTCTCGGTCTCGTCTTTTCCAACGTCCCTGAATGTCGCCCTCTCGCTCCTCGTCTCGGTCTCGTCTCAGTCTCACCTCGGTCTCACCTCGGTCTCGTCTCGGTCTCATCTTTTCCAACGTCCCTGAATGTCGCCCTCTCGCTCCGCGCTCCCGTCTGCAATAAGCTAACGAGTCTAATCGTTATATTTTTAATAAACGCAGCAGGCTCTCCGGTCCTCAGAGGCTCGTACTGAAACCCCGCTCCTCCAGAACAGCCCTCCACGGCACACTTGGTCCTGATTACACCTCCTCCACCGCGCCTCCCTCCACACCTGCCATGACTTACGGTTTTTCATTAGCCGCTAAATTGTGCGTCTTTTGCTCTTTAATCTTAATGTTATTATTCTTAATTTTCCGACGTCCCGAAACCAAAAACCTCCACGGGTTTATCTCGCTTCTCCGTAGGCTAACAAAAAAATCCCGCATTGCTAGTTTTCACCCACTAGCACTTATTAAAAAAGCGTAGCAGAGCAGAGTGTTAGCGTGTTAGCTCGGGCGATGCGTCTTTGGGGTGTGTTACGTCATGGGTTTTTTACAGACTTGGGACTTTCAGACCAAAAATGTTCAAATGATTCACGGATACCGCTGCTTCTTTTTTTTCAAGGGTTAATAACTTTCTTAATTAGTTTATATAGTGTTGTATTAATCATTTTTTCAATTTCCTGCTTTCTCAAAATGAAAGACTTTTTTTTATTTACAGAAGTCCCACTGGGTTTTTCTGAAATGTCTTGCCGACGCAGAAGGGTCTGAAGACAGTGATGATCCCGGAACATTTATTAACATTTATTAACATTTATTAACATTTATTAACATTTATTAACATTTATTAACATTTATTAACATTTATTAACATTTATTAACATTTATTAACATTTATTAACATTTATTATCATTTCTGGACAGTGGTTTTCCTGCTCCCTCTGAGTTTGTTTTTATTGCGAACTGTTTGATTCTCTGATCTGTTTTCGGCGAATCAAAATCATTGTAAAATTCTCTGAGACCACTGCTGCTGTGATTTAGGGCTGTACAAAAAACAGTTCGAATATGCACCATCAGTCCTGGGTCTACAGCCTCAGTCCTGGATCTACAGCCTCAGTCCTGGATCTACAGCCTCAGTCCTGGATCTACAGCCTCAGTCCTGGATCTACAGCCTCAGTCCTGTATCTACAGCCTCAGTCCTGGATCTACAGCCTCAGTCCTGGATCTACAGCCTCAGTCCTGGATCTACAGCCTCAGTCCTGGGTCTACAGCCTCAGTCCTGGATCTACAGCCTCAGTCCTGGATCTACAGCCTCAGTCCTGGATCTACAGCCTCAGTCCTGGGTCTACAGCCTCAGTCCTGGATCTACAGCCTCAGTCCTGGATCTACAGCCTCAGTCCTGGATCTACAGCATCAGTCCTGGATCTACAGCCTCAGTCCTGGGTCTACAGCCTCAGTCCTGGATCTACAGCCTCAGTCCTGGGTCTACAGCCTCAGTCCTGGGTCTACAGCCTCAGACCTGGATCTACAGCCTCAGTCCTGGATCTACAGCCTCAGACCTGGGTCTACAGCCTCAGTCCTGGGTCTACAGCCTCAGTCCTGGATCTATAGCCTCAGTCCTGGGTCTACAGCCTCAGTCCTGGGTCTACAGCCTCAGTCCTGGATCTATAGCCTCAGTCCTGGGTCTACAGCCTCAGACCTGGATCTACAGCCTCAGTCCTGGGTCTACAGCCTCAGTCCTGGATCTACAGCCTCAGACCTGGATCTACAGCCTCAGACCTGGGTCTACAGTCCCTACAGTCTCTTATCCCACTAAAGTTATTCCCACTCTACTTCTTTATAAACAAATTGTTCAAACTGTATCTCTTATAGAAACTTTTTTCAGACAGTTGCATTGGATTACATGTGAATAATGTACTTCCTGTTTGCACACACTTTCGTCATGATAAAGTTTGACGGAGGAAAAACATAAACAACATGGAAACATAAACAAGTTCAGGTTTTTCCCAACGAAATTCCAAGAGACAGTTTTCTCTCAAACTGAGCAGAGCTGACGGAGCTGTCCGTGGTGCTGAAGCCTAGACTCTGCTTAAGAAAGTCATGTGGACCGCTTGTATCCGCGATCTTGTCCTTTCGGTCATAACCCAAAGCTCATGACCAGAGGTGAGTGGGAATGAGAGCTTTGACTGCAGACGCTGCTCCCTTCACCTGCGATACTTGAACTCCTTCTCTTCAGGAACCACGTCTGCAGAAAGATAGATCCTGTGACCAGGACTAATGTGATGGTACTTCCTGGTTCTAGTCAGGACTAATGTGATGGTACTTCCTGGTTCTAGTCAGGACTAATGTGATGGTACTTCCTGGTTCTAGTCAGGACTAATGTGATGGTACTTCCTGGTTCTAGTCAGGACTAATGTGACGGTACTTCCTGGTTCTGGTCAGGACTAATGTGATGGTACTTCCTGGTTCTAGTCAGGACTAATGTGATGGCACTTCCTGGTTCTAGTCAGGACTAATGTGATGGTACTTCCTGGTTCTAGTCAGGACTAATGTGATGGCACTTCCTGGTTCTAGTCAATGTGATGGCACTTCCTGGTTCTAGTCAAGACTAACGTGACAGTACTTCCTGGTTCTGGTCAGGACTAATGTGATGGTACTTCCTGGTTCTAGTCAGGACTAATGTGATGGCACTTCCTGGTTCTAGTCAGGACTAATGTGATGGCACTTCCTGGTTCTAGTCAATGTGATGGCACTTCCTGGTTCTAGTCAATGTGATGGCACTTCCTGGTTCTAGTCAGGACTAATGTGACGGTACTTCCTGGTTCTAGTCAATGTGATGGTACTTCCTGGTTCTAGTCAGGACTAATGTGATGGTACTTCCTGGTTCTAGTCAGGACTAATGTGATGGCACTTCCTGGTTCTAGTCAGGACTAATGTGACGGTACTTCCTGGTTCTAGTCAGGACTAATGTGATGGCACTTCCTGGTTCTAGTCAATGTGATGGCACTTCCTGGTTCTAGTCAAGACTAACGTGACAGTACTTCCTGGTTCTAGTCAATGTGATGGCACTTCCTGGTTCTAGTCAGGACTAATGTGATGGCACTTCCTGGTTCTAGTCAGGACTAATGTGATGGTACTTCCTGGTTCTAGTCAGGACTAATGTGACGGTACTTCCTGGTTCTAGTCAGGGCTAATGTGACGGTACTTCCTGGTTCTAGTCAGGACTAATGTGATGGTACTTCCTGGTTCTAGTCAGGACTAATGTGATGGTACTTCCTGGTTCTAGTCAGGACTAATGTGATGGTACTTCCTGGTTCTAGTCAGGACTAATGTGATGGTACTTCCTGGTTCTAGTCAGGACTAATGTGACGGTACTTCCTGGTTCTGGTCAGGACTAATGTGATGGTACTTCCTGGTTCTAGTCAGGACTAATGTGATGGCACTTCCTGGTTCTAGTCAGGACTAATGTGATGGTACTTCCTGGTTCTAGTCAGGACTAATGTGACGGTACTTCCTGGTTCTAGTCAGGGCTAATGTGACGGTACTTCCTGGTTCTAGTCAGGACTAATGTGATGGTACTTCCTGGTTCTAGTCAGGACTAATGTGATGGTACTTCCTGGTTCTAGTCAGGACTAATGTGATGGTACTTCCTGGTTCTAGTCAGGACTAATGTGACGGTACTTCCTGGTTCTGGTCAGGACTAATGTGATGGTACTTCCTGGTTCTAGTCAGGACTAATGTGATGGCACTTCCTGGTTCTAGTCAGGACTAATGTGATGGTACTTCCTGGTTCTAGTCAGGACTAATGTGATGGCACTTCCTGGTTCTAGTCAATGTGTTGGCACTTCCTGGTTCTAGTCAGGACTAATGTGACGGTACTTCCTGGTTCTAGTCAGGACTAATGTGATGGCACTTCCTGGTTCTAGTCAGGACTAATGTGATGGTACTTCCTGGTTCTAGTCAGGACTAATGTGATGGTACTTCCTGGTTCTAGTCAGGACTAATGTGACGGTACTTCCTGGTTCTGGTCAGGACTAATGTGATGGTACTTCCTGGTTCTAGTCAGGACTAATGTGATGGCACTTCCTGGTTCTAGTCAAGACTAACGTGACAGTACTTCCTGGTTCTAGTCAGGACTAATGTGATGGTACTTCCTGGTTCTAGTCAGGACTAATGTGATGGTACTTCCAGGTTCTAGTCAGGACTAATGTGACAGTACTTCCTGGTTCTAGTCAGGGCTAATGTGACGGTACTTCCTGGTTCTAGTCAGGACTAATGAGATGGTACTTCCGGGTTCTAGTCAGGACTAATGAGATGGTACTTCCTGGTTCTAGTCAGGACTAATGTGATGGCACTTCCTGGTTCTAGTCAGGACTAATGTGATGGTACTTCCTGGTTCTAGTCAAGACTAACGTGACAGTACTTCCTGGTTCTAGTCAGGACTAATGTGATGGTACTTCCTGGTTCTAGTCAGGACTAATGTGATGGTACTTCCAGGTTCTAGTCAGGACTAATGTGACAGTACTTCCTGGTTCTAGTCAGGGCTAATGTGACGGTACTTCCTGGTTCTAGTCAGGACTAATGAGATGGTACTTCCGGGTTCTAGTCAGGACTAATGAGATGGTACTTCCTGGTTCTAGTCAGGACTTATGTGAGGGTACTTCCTGGTTCTAGTCAGGACTTATGTGATGGTATTTCTTGGTTCTAGTCAGGACAAACTTGATGGTACTTCCTGGTTCTAGTCAGGACTAATGTGATGGTACTTCCTGGTTCTAGTCAGGACTAATGTGACGGCACTTCCTGGTTCTAGTCTGGACTCTGGAGTTTTTACTTTATGTTACTTCGACAGGACTCTTTCTGGTTGGCTTTCAATTCCGATTACACACTTTTTTCAACGAGCCACAATCAAAAACAAATGATTACAAAAAAAGATGAACTATTTGACTGAAAGAATACGGAGAGTTTGAAGGTATTTTTCTTCTTGGATTACTTTTTACACAAGCATAATGCCCTGAGGAAGCGGGTGTTACGCCGCGTGATTGAAATCTCGGAAAAAGTACATTTTGCATTCACTCGGGCTCCCAGCGGCA